GATCCGAGAAATCCGTGTGGACCTCCAAAAGATAATGTTTATGCCGGTGTTTGGTTTTTCAGTGCGGTAGGTTCATGCGGAGTTGGCGCGCTGGCGACGCCGGCGAAGGCGTTCAAGGTGGAATTCTGCGACGCGGAAGCACCGAGGGACACGGTGACGACACTGGACCCGACTGAGTTCAGCCTGGAATGATCGGGGCCGCGCTCGACTCAAGGTTGAACGATCGACGCGGCGTCACAAACTCGGAGGGCACCAACTATACACCGATCCTGGGCCCAGGGTGATCCTGGCCAGGATCGGTGTTGGTGTATAGTTGGTGCCTTCCTACAAACCTTTGCGCGCGCCGACGCCGCACGAACCTGCCGCATCGGATCCCGAACCAAACCCCAGGGTCAGTCTCGGAGGTCGCCGCGGCGATCGCCGCGGCCGCAATGCGGGGCAAGCTTTTTGCAGACTAGCAGCATGTCTCTTCGCAGCCCCTTCCTCTCTGCGGTGCAAGCGCTGCGCATAATCGGCAGTGCAGTGACAGAGGGTTGTCCACCTGTGTCCAACAGGTGGAGTCATATTTTGTTGGTCGGGGCTTGATGACAGTCGGCCCGGATGAGTAGGTCGACCCTGCCAGATCAAGGGTACTCTTGTGCCCTGTGTCTCGCGACCCGTGCCTCCGGCATTCCCGTGGGAGCGTGGCCCCCAGAAGGGCCTCGTGCCCCCTCGCGTGTCCTCTCCAGTCAGGTCCGACCGTACCTCTCGCAGCCGGCAGGGCCCGGGGCAGCGCCAAGGGGGGGGGGAGGATGGGCACCGGGCGGCCGCGTCGGCCTCGGGAGACCCCTCCGGCGCCCCAGTGAGGGGCCCGGTCGCCCACCCCGCCCGGGAGCGTGAGCGTGCGGGGCTCGGCGTGTCGCCGATCTGTCGGCGGGGCCATCGCCGATGCTCGCCTTTAAGTCGGGCCCGTCCCTCTACGGGGGGAAGATTCAAGAACAGTCAAAAAATAGTCAGGGGACGATTTTGGGACCATTTTTGAGCATCTGGGGGGCATTTTTTTTTTTTTTTTTTTTTTTGTGTGTGTTTTGAATTTGTTTTTCGCTCAAAATCCCCCTGGAGGGGACACGCCCGACTTAATGCTAGCCCGATGTTTCCCCCCCCGAGCCAAGGGCTCCCACGAGGGCGCGAAGTAGTTCGCGCTTCGCGCTTCGCGGGCCTCATTCCTCCTCCCCCTCCTCCTCGTCCTCCCTTTCTCCCTTTGGGGGGGCGGCGCGAGAGCGCGAAGTTATTCGCGCTTCGCGCTTCGCGGAGCGCGAGAGCGCGAAGTTGGGAGCCCTTGCCTCACTGAGCTGGTCCCCCCCCTGACGTTGCCCCCCGGCAGGGCCTGGAGCCCCCTGGGGGACCTGGAGTCAGGCCCTCGGATCGAGAGGCCCGCAGGCCAGGCTCCTCGGGCGCCTTCCCAGAGGGCCCGGACCGCCTGGCGCTCTCGGAAAACCCTCGGGGCTCGAGAGACGGGTCAGTGCAGGCGGGGGTCAGCCACAGCGCCAGATCTTGCAGGATCCTGCAGGGCCAGGGTCGCACTGACCCGGGTTTGGGTGCAGGATCCTGCAGGATCTCGCAGGATCCTTCGCATTGACCCGGGTTTTGGGTGCAGGATCTTGCAGGATCCTGCAGGATTCTGCAATGCCTGACTGGCCCTGGTCTGGATTGACCTGGGTCAGAAGATCCCCGAAACCCGCAAGGGAACACAGCCCAGATCCCTTTTTGGGGGAGGGATCGGTGAGACGATGCTCCTCGGCCCAATCGCCCACTCAGCGCCGATATGGGGCCCGATCGCCCACCCCGCCCAGGACTGTGCGGGCATTCGCCCTCGGGGGTCTGTCGCCGATTTGTCGTCGATGCCCACGCCGATGCCAGCCCGCTGCTTTCCCCCCCTTTGAGCCGGGTCCCCCCCCTTCTCGGAAACTGGAACATATACATTACCAGTGGCGGGCTCTCTTTCAATCCCAGGACTTTTTTTTGAGGGTCGGGGACGAAGTCGGGGTGGTGTGGTGTATACTTTTTTCCTTCGCCTTCCTGGGGAAACAGCGAAGAATGTATACACCAGGATCCCGTACACACCAGGATCCCCTTCCCCCTGCGAGATTTCGTTGTGAGGCCAGACAAAGGCGTCGGTGTATAGAGCTCGGAGCCCCACCATCGCTCCCCCCCCCCGTGGGCCCCCAGTCGTTCCCGAGCGCCCTCCCCTCCCTCGTGCGCCCCGAACGTTCCCCCTCGGCAGGACCTGGACCACCTGGACCGCCCCGCGGCGTACCTCGCCGCCTTCGGGTGCGACCCGGGCTTCGCGCCCGCGGAGGCGTGCCCCCGCGCCGCGCGCCGCCGGCGCGCGCGCGCTGGCCCAGGCGGGCATCGCAGGCCTAGAGGTTGACACCAACACCACTATCGGCGGTGTGCCTCCACCGAGGGAAGAAGATCCCGACCTCGGTGATGGTGGTAATATTCTTGCTTCCAAGGACCGAAATATTACTCCAGATTTCGTAATAAAGGGAGGGGGGTCTCATTTCGGGGGGGGTCTCTTCCAGGCTATCTTGGAGGGCCTGGGGGTGTCTGGGGACGATGTTTTGGAGGGTTCTCCCACGGGGGGTGTCTAAGACTTCTCGTCTGGGAGGGTTGAGACCCCCTCCCTTTTATTACGAAATCTGGAGTACCACCGACACCGAAATCTGGGATCATCTTCCCCCTGAGGAGGCAAACCCCCCGTGTTGGTGTTGGTCTATTTCCAGGCCTCCAGGGGCAGGTCCCGGGGGGCTCGGCGCTCCGGAGAGGCGGGGCTCCGCGCCAGCGCCGCCCCGCGGGGAGCAGCTGTGATCCTCGGGGCCCCGCCGCGCGCAGAGGGGGGGGGACCCACAAAGGGGGCCTTTACAGGGTCCGAGGAGTGCACCTTTCTCCCCACCTCCTCCGCCTCCTCCTCCTCCTCCTCCTCCTCCTCCTCCTCCTCCTCCTCCTCCTCCTCCTCCCCCTCTCCTCCCTCCCCCTTTCTCGCCCCCTTTCACTGAGCGACGCGGCACCTCCTCAGCCGCTGCGCGCTTCCACTCCGCATCGCTCCTGGTGTCATACAGTGAGCGGCTTGAACAAGGAGCACTTACTTCTCAACAGTGGCTCGGTCGTTCCCTAGGCCCGCATGCGTTATTTATCGTTCCTGATGCGTTCTTTATCATGTCTCGTTCCTTATGCGTTGCTCCCTGGAAAGAATGGGCTGCGTTCCTTATTTCGCGTTCCTTTGGTGAGGCCGATGACTGTGGAGGAATTTTGGTTCGGCGGTTTTTCGGCAGTGTTCGTTGGTTCTCGGCGGGTTTTCCAGCCGCTGGACGCTCTTCAGCACCTGGGCGTCGCCGAGAGCGTTCTGGGGTGTCCGGGTCGACCCAAGCGGCGCCTGGGGCTCGAGTTACGGGAATATCCAAGAATAGTTGAAACAGTTAGTCTGGGGACGATTTTGTAAAACACATTTTTTTGGAGTATTTGATCTGTTTTCAATATTTTTTGAGATTATTTCTTTCCGTCCAAAATCCCCCTGCCGGGAGAGACAGGCACGAATTACAGTTACGGCCCGAAAGCCGACGCCGCGAAAGCACCCTGCCTCTCAGAAGGCGCGCGCTTCGTCCGTGGACGCACGGCTGGCGTCTCAATCGGAACCGGCCTCCTTCTGAGAGGCCGTCACCCCTCCACCCTGCACCCCTTGTTAGCGCCGCCGGAGGACGTGTGTTCGCCCAGTGTTCTGGGGTGGATCGACCTCCTACCCCGACACGTCGATTAAGGAATTGGCCGTTTTCGGTTCGCGAGGGGGCGTCACGGCCGTTCCTTTTTGCGGGTCCAGGTCCGTGGGTTTCGGTCCCAGACCGTTTTCACTAAAGGAGGTTTACTAAAAGGGAGGTTTGTCCACCGCCGAAGTGTGTGTGTGTGTGTGTGTGTGTGTGTGTGTTACCCCTATGCCTCCTCTCGCCCCGCTCTGAGGCTTCGCCGCTTCTTCCTTCCACTTCTCTGCCTAATTCAGGCTTCGCGCGGCCCGCTTAGCTTCGACAGGAAGAGGTGCGCTCTCGACCCGTGGATCAAAAGTGTGTGTGTGTGTGTTTCCCCGTTCAGCTCCACCGACAGATCATTACACCGCCTGCATCGTATGGAAGAGCTCCGACGGACAAGCACGCGTTGGCGCCGACACGCGCGCTGCGGATCACCGAGACCACCACCGCCTCCTCCTCCTCCCCCTACGGGACCCTAACCGCGGGGTGCTCGTGCGCCACAGGAGTGGCCAAGCTGCTGCTCCACGTGCTCACGAAGCGGGTGCAGAAGTTGTACCCGGTGGTGCGCTGCCAGAACATCGTCGACGACGTCTTCGTGCAGGCGGTGGGCGGAGGAAAGCAGGTGAAGGAGCAGCTGCCGAACGCGACGCTCGACCTCGTGCGCGGGCTGGTCGAGAAGGGCCTGCCCGTCTCCTGGAAGAAGACCAAGTACCTCGCCAACACTGCGGACGTGGCTGCTGACATGGACGCGGCGCTGGGGGCAGAGGCGGCTGCAGCTGGGTCCCAGGGCGGCCAACGGAGCTCCGGGGCACGCAACTTGGGCTGCGACGCCACGGATGGCAGGTGGCGGAGGGTCCACGAGCAAGACGTGCGAATGCAACGATTTGCGCGCGTTTCCCTCCGAATGCAGGCCTTCCGCAGGGCAGGAGCTCAGGCAGCAGGGCTCCAGAGGGGGAGCCCTACGGCGACTGCACTATGGGGATCGGCGGTCACAGGCATAGCCGACGGCAAGCTGCACCAACTCAGAATCCTGGCGGCGAAGGCTGCTGGCAGGCTCCCAGCGGGGTGCAGCGTCGGCCTCAGGCTGAAAGCGCACCCACGCGCGGCCTCGCGGGACCCCTGGGTCTTGCACGCCGCCGAGCTTGCGCGCGCCTGGACCTCGACACTGGCGCGGGGGCTCGTCACGGAGGAGGTGATGAAGACGTGCTGGGAGGCCGCGAGCGGCATCCTGATGCGTGAGAGGGCCTGGAATCTGTGCCGCTGCCCAGCGGAGGCCTGCCGCCTTGGGCTGCGCAGGGCAGGGCTGGACATGCCGCGGTTCGATGCCCTCGAGATCCCAGGAGGTGAGGTCATTCGGTTGCAGGACTTCTTTTCGGGGGCTGCCAAGGAGATCGTTCGCCGACACGCGTGCCAGATGTCCGACGTGGCGGCGCTGGCCAGGCTGAGAGGGGCCGGCACGTGGGCGACCCCGCTCAATTGGGCGCCATTGGCCAAGCTCCTCGGGCCGAAGGCGGTGGACAACTCCGAGTGGACGGTCGGCCATCAGCGGGCTCTTCGGAGCTTACTCGGAGGTTCCCATTGGCCGCGGGCCCGGCTGTGCGACGAGGGTAAGACGGACAGCGACCGATGCATTTTGTGCGGCGCGGAGCGGGGCACGCTCTGGCATCGCTGTTTCGCTTGCGACGGCCACGCGGTGCGCAGGAGGGACCGCTGCCCGCCGGAGCTGCTGGCCGCCGCGCGCGTGGTGCGCGAAAGCGGAGAGGCGGCGGGTGAGCTGTTCGCCCGAGGTCTGCTGCCCTCCGCGCAGCAACGCTTCTCGAGGTCAGAGGCTCCAGAGGCCCACCACCTCGTGTGGCACGTGCGACCCGAGGGGGGTTCTTCTCGGGTGACGTTTTCGTCGACGGCAGCGCCTTCGACGTGGAGGACGACTCCCTGAGGCGGGCAGGGTGGGCCATCGTGGCCTTCAACGACGACCGGGAGATCACGGGCGCGGCCTACGGCGTGGCGCCGCTGGCGCAGGCGCCGCTGCAGGAGGCGCGCGACGGCGAGGGCTACGCGTTCAAGATGCTGTCGCAGCTCGGGCAGGGCCCTCTCAGGGCCCATTGCGACTGTAAGGGCGCGGTGAAGTGCGCCCGCGACCGGGCCTTCGCCATGCGCGAGGCCAACGAGCGGCGGCACCTCTGGTCAGCGTGGTGTGCCGAGATGGGCGACCAGGAGGTCGAGGTCGTGAAGGTCAAGGCGCACCTCGGGGTGAACGCCGTGACGAGCCACCTGGAGAGCTGGCGGCGCGCTGGGAACGCCGCGGCGGACCGCCTGGCGCGCCGCGGAGCCCGGCTGTGGGGCGCCCCCGAGGAGGCGCGCCTCTTCGCCGCTGCGTGCAGGCGCCGAGCCAGGCAGCTGGCGCGATGGCTGGGGGACCTCCACGCGCACCTGCAGGGAACGAAAGTCAGAGATTCCGTGGGCCTGAGTGCCGGCGCAATGGACGACCAGGAGGAGCACGATGGTGGCCAGCGCGACGCCGAGGGCGGCCCAGCGACCAGCAGACGGCCCCTACAATGTCACGGAGTTGGTGCGCCCGAGGCCCTCCAGTTGCCTCCAGGCGCACCGGGCGAGCAAGCCACAGGAGCCGGTGACAACGGCTCGGAGGTGGACCACGCCCCTGCAGGGCCATGGAAGCTGAGGGGCCACAGCATTTTGGCCGGGCCTTGCGGCGACGAGGACGCGGTGCTCTTCTGCATGCAGTGCGGTGCCAACGCGCGGGTGCAGCGGAGAGGACGGGGCAGCCTTCTGGGTCCGCGCCGCGGCCCCGAGGCCGCCGGACTCGCAGAGGCGCGTCGGCGGCTGCGAGCCGGCCTACACCCGCACCCTCGGAGGCAGAGACAGCGGCTCGGGCAGCCGAGGGCTCTCACAGACGCCGAGCGGACGATCTGGCGACCAGTGCTGGCGCCCGGCGCAGGCGAGGAAGAGGAGCAGGAACCTGCAGTGAGACCCGGCTACCGGCTCAACTGGCGGCGTCTGCACATCTACGACGTCGCGCGGCTGCACGGCTTCCACAGCCCAGCGGAGGCGGTGGCTTGGGAGCGTTCAGCGGCGCAGTACAGCGACGGCTCCGTGTGCGAGGGCTGAGGCCGGCGTCCGGCGGCAGCCAGCGCACCCGAGTGAAGGTGTTGCCGCAGGAGCCCGGAGCCGTTGAGGCCGCCAGGCCTCGGCGGCTGTGCGGAGCCGCCGCGGCGGCGCAGGTGGGCTAGACTAGCCCGCCCTCTACCCAACCCAACCCAACCCAACCTCCTCCTCCTCGTCCAGGATCCATGCCGATCCGATCGCTGCGATTCGATATCGGCTTCGGGTGGCCCGATTCGATTCGGTGCTCCTATGTTGGCGATCCTATGCGGCCCGACGCTCGCACGGCGCCGCCGAGCACCATGGCGCGGCCGATGCGATTCGGCTTCGACGCTGTGCCCTCCAGCCCGACCAGAAGCACATGTCGATGCGATCCGACTTCCCGATTCGAGACCGAACAACCTGGGGTCTCGAGAGACGGATCTCGCCGCAGGGGTCGGCTTGGGGCTGTCGACGGGGACTGGGATGGCCCCTCCGGTACGAAGTTCTAGGCCTCGCAGTTTGGGTCCGAGCATATCGGGTCGAATGATCGCGCCGCATGCGGAGCCCGACTTTCGCCATGCCGATGGCGATGCATCGCAGATGCATCGCCGATGCATCGGCGATGCGGCGCGATCCTCCGACCCCATTTACTCAGACCCCATCTGGGAGTCCTCTACCTGGTGCTGTCGGAGTGCAGATTGGAGCCGAAGGTTTGCCCAGATAACCTTGGATGATGAGCGCAGCCCCCTTGGGGGCCTCGATTGCGCCCAGATGCGCGAGAGACGACGGAGGAAGATCCACGCCAGGAGCGAAGAAAAATCGAGCCCCGTTTGAATCCAGCGTAGGCCTCATCCCAAAGTTTGTGCTGTGTGTTCCGAATGCCCGACGCCTGGTGGCAGCTGAAAGCTCCGATTGCCACGTCGTCGCCGCACGCCCCCTGTCCGCCGCTGTTGTCACTGTCGTCGTCGTCGTCGTCTTCTTCGTCGTCGTTGTCGCCGTCGTCGTCGTCGTCGCCTCCGCCGCTGCAGCTGCCGCCGCCGCTGCCGCCGCCGCCGCCGCCGTCGTCGTCGTCGTCGTCGTGGCCGCCGCCGCTGCCTGGAAGGAGTCCTGCGCCAAGGTGGTCACGGCGGCCACGACGACGGCGGGCGGCGGCGGCGGCGACGCCAGGCAGCGACGAGGACAATCGTCGCCACTTGGGCGGCGGGTTCTCCCAGGCAGCGACGACGACGACGCCGCCAGGTGGCCGCGAAGAGCCTCCACTCGCGCGTGCTGTCGCGGCTCGCGGAGAGCCGCGGCCGCTGGTCGGGCGAGGAGCTCTGCGCCGCGCTGGCGGGCAGCTTCGAGCAGCCCGCGCAGGGCGCCGCGGCTCGGGCTGCCCTCGCTGCCAGCGCCTTGCAACAACAGCCACATATGTAACATCTTGGCTTGTACGTGTGTACATATGTATGTTTGTATGTTTGTGTGTATGTATGTCTGCATGTGTGTGTGTGTGTGTGTGTGTGTGTGTGTGCGTGTGTGTGTGTGTGTGTGTGTGTGTGTGTGTGTGTGTGTCAGTGCGTGTATGTATGTATTTCTCTTTGTATGTATGTACGTACGTATGTATGTATCTATATGCATGTATAGTTGTATATGGATATTCCTTTATATATATACACACCTATACGACGACCCTGCGGATGATAAGGAGGTTTGGGGGGGAGGGGGGCCAGTAATGGGCAACAGTGGTGATTGTTGCGTTGCCGCTCGCTCTTGGGAGCCTTCACTGCGGCCTCCAGGGGCCTCGGTGCGGCGTGAAATTGCATCACGTGATCGATCCCTCCATCGATCTAAAAAGCGATGTCGTTATCGGTCTCACGATCGATCTCGCCATCGATCTCACTATCGATCTCTCTGTCGATCTCACAAGCGATGTCGTTATCGGTCTCACGATCGATGGGACCATCGATCCCACTATCGATCTCACTCGATCGATCTCACTATCGATCTCACTCGATCGATTGCACTGTCGATCTCACTCTGGATCTCGCTATCGATCCCACTAACGATCTCCCTATCGATATCACTCGATCTCACAATCGATATCACTATTCATCTCACCATTGATCTCACGATCGATCTTGCTATCGGTCTCACTATTGATCTCACTATCGATCTCACAATCGATTTCGTCATCGGTCTCACTATCGTTTTCGCACCAGCGGGACACCGGGACATCAGCGGGACATTGGCGGGACACGGGCGGGACTCCGGCGGGACACCGCGGGCCACCGCTTGCCGGAGGGAGAATCATTTGGTCCGGCCGCGCCTCAGCCACAGGAGACTTTCCTCTCGCCCGCCCACGCAGCTTCGCCTCGCCCGCACGCACGGCACGCACGAACACGAAACCGAAACCGATTTCCCGGTGGGGGGCTCTCCGTTCCACTTCGATCTCACCCCCCATATATGAATGTATGCTTGTATGTATGTATGTGTTGAATGTCTGTTTGTGTGCATGTGTGTGTATGTGTGCATGTGTGTATATATGTATGTAAATATTACGGGTGCGCATGCATGTTTTTTATATGTTGGTATGTATGTGTTTATGTGTGTATGTGCGTATGTATATATATTTCCGCGTGCATGCAATCTATGCATGTGCTCAACGTGTGTGTATATATATGTATATGTATATATGTATGGACAGCCCCCCCCCAGCACCCACTCTTAGTCTTTTTTCTTTCCACGTTGTCCTTCGCATCCCTTCCTCCGCTCCCCTTTTTGTTCTCTGTCCCGTTGTCATTCGTCCTCCTAGCCGTCCTCTCTCTCTCTCTCGCTTGCCACTTCTCCCCAGGGGGCTGCGGGCGCCTTTTTCGTCGCCTCCGCGCAGGGGAGACCAACGCTTGCAGGGGCGCCATGAGGAGGAGGATGATGATGATGATGATGATGATGATGAGGAGGAGGAGGAGGAGGCGGAGGAGGAGGAG